CTTAGACAAGCACAGAGGCCGGGGTTCGATCTCTGGCACCACGTGCAGCGCCAGCCCTGCCCCCCCCCCACCACGCATGCACTGAGCAGGCAACCAAGTCTGGGTGTGGTGGCGCATGCCTGTAATCCCAGAACTTGGGAGGCTGAAAACAGGAGGATCACTATGAGTACCAGCTGCATAGTGAGACCTCGCACAAAACAATGTTTAAAAAAAGAAAATTGATGTGATTTTTTAGGTTTAATCTTTTTTTTTTTTAATATAGAGGAATTTATTTTTATTTATTTTTGCGGAACCGGGGATTGAACTCAGGCCCTTGCACTTGCCAGGCAAGCGCTTATTCTACTGAGCTATCTCCCCGGCCCTGATGTGATTTTTTTTAAAACAAATGGTATCACCTGTCGACGTGATTTTTTTTTTTTTAACAGATGGTATCACCTGCCTGAGGAGGACTCAAAGCGCTGTGGTATATCTCAGAAAACCCACTACACTGTCCTTACAGAAGTTGAAAAACACACATGCAGCAGTCGTAGTGACCCAGGTCATCCAAGCAGCAGTTCTCTGAGCTAATCCACATCTGGAAGGGAACAGCCACCACCATGAGCACCTCCTGGAATGGCAGAGCCCCAAGGTACGTCACAGGATATCTTCATAAATTTAATATTGAAATATTTACACAAGTTTTTCCTTTTCTGAAGTGTGTAGACTTTTTGGCAAAATATGTATATCTATTTACATATGCATGTATATATACTGTCATTTTTGAGACAAGGTCTTGGTCTTACTACGTAGCACAGGCTGGCCTCAAACTCACAGCAATCCACCTGCCTCAGCTTCCCAAGCGTTGGGACTGCAAGCGTGCCCTGCAAAGCCCAGCTTAATTACTGGATATCGGAACTCTTCCTTTCTACACGAAGCCTTCAAAGCCTGCTGCAGGGCACTCGCTGAGCTGGCCACAGTTCAGGTGCTGTGGCGGTCCATGTGGCTACCATGTTGTACACCATGGGATTTCAGTTTTCAGTACTGAGACTGAGCCCAGGGCCTTCACACTGAGCTACATATCCAGGCTTTTTCTATGAATTTTACTTTGAGACAGGATCTCAGTAAGTCACCAAGCTGCCCAGGCCGGGCATGAACTTTTTACTTTACTGTACTTTGGTTCTTTAAGGCAGGGTCTCACTGTGAGGTCCAGGCTGACTTTGGACTCACTACACAGCCCAAGCAGGCCTCAAATACACAATGATCCACCTGCTCAGCCTCCCAGGATGCGGGTGGACAGTGCCATTTTTAATGACTTTTCAAGGATGTGGAGACTTGGTTGGTTGGCTCAATCTTGGATCACGGATTCTAACCATTAAACCGTCTAGACACAGGACAAGCAGACACAAAGGGCTCAGGAAGGAAGTCTAATTGCAGAGAAGCCCGTGGCGTCTTCAGGTGGCTGTGCCGGGTGATGCGCCAGTCCCTGTGACACCACGGCGTCTCTGCCAGGCCAACTGACTCCTCCCAACAGCGCATGGAGGCTGTTTCTGGTCGCTGCCTCTGTTCCACAGACAAACCTGAGGCCCAGGTCGGGGTCACTCCATGGAGACACGGATAGGAGGGCAGCGGAGCTGGGCACACCGTGCTCTAAGCTCCCGTGCAAGCCACAAGCGCCGCTGCTCCTCTCCTGTCCCTGAGCCCACCCGCCTCAGCGCGCTCACCCGGTGGTCCTTGAGCTGTGGCTGCTAAGGCTGACAGCACAGCTGGCCACCCACACAGGCTCCCCGCAGCCGCCAACACAGCTGCTGCCAAGTTCCAGGTTCTTCTTCGTCACTCCAGTGTGTTCCTGTGGTGGAACCGAAGCCGAAGGGCCTTGTCACAGACACACACAGGCACACCCTGTACAAAGTGCTGTAATCATGCAGGTGTTTAGGATTAATTTCGGGACCCCCTCAGTACTGAAGTCCATGCTGTCCACACCCGTGTGTAACCCACACACATGCTCCTGCATACGTTCTGTGTTTAGCTGACTTCACCTACCTACCACAGTGTGCACACAGGTGGTAGTGACACCGTATTGTTTGAGAAGTACAATGGACCCCTGACTTAGGGACTCAGTTCACTCCCCAGGGCTGCTGGCAACTCCAGCCATCAACTGGAGGCTCAGCCTCCTCCTCAAACCTTCCAAGTCCCTCTCCTGTCTGCAGCACTCTCAGGGTCCTTTCGGAGACACTGGCCCAGGATTTCTCACTTAACCCCCTGCTAAAAAGAGTGCAGTCATGTTCCTTCCAGAGCACTTCCAGGGTCACATCTGTCCCTGAGACCATCTGGAAGCACAGTGGTCGGCAGTGGGGTCCCAACTCAAGACTCGGGTCTGAAGTGAAAGCTAAAGTCTTGATCATCACCCAAGTCATTCATACACTGGACTGTAATTCAAGGATCCACTGTACCACTGTCATGAGGAGGAAAAACTAGCCACACGCTCAACACAGATGCACTCCCCACCCAACTCCTGATCTTCTACTTCTACAATTAGTTGAATGCACAGATAAGAAGCCTATGCACGGGAAGGGGCAGGGGGTGTCAAACAGTATTTATTTTTTAAGTATGTGAATACATCAGAAAGCAACGTAGTCTTAACTTTCTTTATCTGAACCCCATCAGTGATTCTCAAACAGGGATGGAGTTCCAGACAAGCCGCCCCACTGGAAAGGGAATACCACTTCTTTGTGTGTGTGTGGTACCAGGGATTAAACTCAGGACCCTGCACTTGCCAGGCAAGTGCTTATTCTACTGAGCTATCTCCCCGCCCCTGAGCTATCTCCGCAGCCCCTGAGCTATCTCCCCGGCCCCTGAGCTATCTCCGCAGCCCCTGAGCTATCTC